ATTGATTCTTCGCTTGATTTAACATATTCGCGCTTTCACTAGACACGCCGTTTACACCCTCCCTTTTGCAAACGTACCTTCCGTATGTCTTGTTCTTATTTTATTTTCTCTCCTCTCGGTTGGTCGGCCTATCTGTCTGCTTGAGCGATCTTATTATAGACGATTAATTTGATCGATCCCATCGAATGCACGATCGTCGTCGGTGGTAACTGATGATTTCATTACTTATCGAGCTCTTCTTAAACCATCTAAACGCGTTCTATCCATTCACATGAACAAAACGATTTTGTATTTTTACGTCTTTTACTTTCTCCTTTTTTATTTTATCTTCGTATTTATATGTGTATGTGTGTATTTTTGTATTTTTTGAAAATACGTTTAAAATTCTAGATTCTAAGAAAAAATTTTAACTTAACGAAAATGAAAGGAAGTTGAATGATTTTATTGTTTATTAAATAAATGACTAATGATTTTTTTCATTCGAATAAATCGTCAATTGTAATATATTGTACTTTGATTGTACGTTAATCGAAACGATAGAGTATTTGAAAACAACATTTCGAAACTTCATACTTTACTCGAACGACGTCGAGTTCGATTAAATCGCAGCTTTATGTTTCGCTGATCGAATTATCGTTTAAATTCATAGACGATCGTACTGTCACTCGATCATAAGCTTAATCACGATGGACTTTATTTAATTAGCGTACTATTAAATAAGTTTTTACATTGAGACTAGCATCGAGACGATACAACGAATGCATTATATCGATTGATGTCGTTTGACCTTGAACTAATTGCCAAGCTGCGATTAGAATTACACGTAATGTTTTACGTAGATCCTATCCTCGATTTTCTTCGTTATGTTCCTTGGATATTAATTAGATAACGTCGAATGATAAAAAAAGGAAGGGAAAAGAAAAAAAAATAATCAGAAGTCTTAATACAAAGTGCATGTGAGTTATGTGTGCAAAAGAAAGTTCGATCGATGAAGAAAAAGGAACTCTTAAAATTGATCGCGTGTACGTCGAGCGTAGTACGTGATCAGAGAACTATAAGTAATGTATCAAGCGAAAGAAAAACAATCAAGATCGATCTATCGATCGATTTGATCACAACTCTAACATATTTTTGTTAAAATTCTTCAATTTCGTCATTTTATACACATGACTTGGATAATTTCACGTGTAGGTTGAGATAAATGTAGGTCGACGAAGTTTAACAAAAGATAAATAGATCTATTTATTTGTCTATCTATCTATATATATATCATGTTCATAGAAATTTCAGAAACGCTCGATTGCCTATGAATTCGCTTGAATTAGCACGTTGCTTTTTTAAATCTATTCCGTCGCGATTTATCGAGTTTATTACTGAAGGAAGGTTCTTGTCCATGGATGACGTCAATACGTGATTTTTTTCATCTTGTACCGAATAATCTTCTACATTTTTTTTTTCCTTTTTTTCGGGAATGACGTCGAACAACAGACTCTCTTTTCGTATAAAGACAAAGAAACTTTAAAAGGACGTAAAAAAAAGCCGTAGTAACGTAGATTATAGAAGAGGATGTCATTTTGTATTCTCTCGCTAAGAGAGAATCCCTATATAATTTAGTCGAACACAATCACCACAAGAATGATCACATCACCATCGCCATGGCCATTGCCATCATCATCACCATCACCATGAGTTATGGTCACTGACGCGTGATGTAAGGTTCCATGTGAAAGCGTCCTAACGAGGAACATTGTTTCACACGCAAAGATGTCCTCGCTGAGCACGCATTCGAATAAAGTCGAATCGAATCGAATTGGATCGGATCGGATCGGGTCGGATCGGGTTGGATCGGGTTGGATCGGATCGGATCGGATCGGATCGGATCGAACGGGTAGCTCTTTTGACTTCGATATAACATTTGTAGTAGGAACCGGTGGCCTTTTTTTCTCCCACGCACGTTATATACACATATAACCACATATACGTACTTATAAGTAGTAACATAAAATCCGACATTTCATCGATTCTATTAATATGAAAGGAATAAATAAAGGGACGACATACGTGTTCTTCCTTTATCATCAACACGTTAACAATATCAACGATATAATCTTGAATACAAACAATACTTTGTTTCATCGTATTATTCTTACCATCGATACCGGATAATAGGATTTTACTAAACAATAAAGTATGGATGATTTCAAATCGCTTGAACGATCGCACGAATGATCGATTTATATTCAATGATATTGATAGTTATATATATATATATATATATATATATATATATATATATATAATCGATATTTCTCATTCGATTATTGCGTTATTACGAAGCATACTATTATAAGCGAGACTTGGACGAGATCGTACAAGTGAAACTCGTTAACCACGTACTCGCTTAACTCTAAAGAAAGATTTCGAATTCAGCGTGATTTAAGTACTATCGTAGTCAGTAATTTGCATCTATAGAACGATAGATCACATTTCATTTGAACGACGAACTTGGACCGTTCTATTCCGACGTAACGTTCCTAGATCGTAGCTTAATTAATCGTATCAATCGGTAATTAACAGGAATCGACGCCTGCTCTTGATCGAAATTAGTTATCGAGATCGTCATTCTTGCGTAACGAGACGCAATCGTTTTACGGAACTTACTTTCATTTTATCGGGTTTTTTAGCTTTTTTCAATAGCTTTGTCTTATTTTTTTTCTTCTTTTGGTTCTTCTATACTATCGTTCATGAGTCATTACATATTTTTGTCGAGAAAATAATTATTATATATTCTTTCTTATATTCGTATAATGTGTTCTTATTTTTAATCGAATTTTATTTACATTAAATGTATATATATATATATTTATTTATTTATTTATTATATAAATAATTATTTAAATAAATCACGTATTTATAAATATAAAAAAATTCCAAAATGCATGTATAAAATTTTATCTACTTTTATTACACCGTAGATTATTTTGATTTAAGAAGAATTGTTAAATAAGAGATTCTTATTATTTCACAATTTCATATGCAATCAAGAAACTTACAGAACAATAAATTCGAACGATAACTTATGAACAATCTACACGAAATCCTTTATATAAATGCATCTTATCAAATCTTTTTTATCTTTTTCTTCTAATCTATTCAATAGAAAGTAAGAAAGTAAGAAAGAGAAAGAGAGAGAGAGAGAGAGAGAGAGAGGGAGAGAGAGAGTAGATAATTCGAAAGGGCCGAAATAAATCCGTCTTTATTACTAGGCATCGTCCATTACATTCGTATAAATAAATAACAGAGAGTAGGCAGAAAATGATTCAGTGTAGATCGCGTAGAGAGAACGATTAAGCGACTCGATAAAAGCAGAAAATGAGAGAGAAAGAGAAAGAGATAGAAAAGAGAGAGAGAGAGAGAGAGAGAGAGAGAGAGAGAAAGAGAGAGAGTGAGAGAGAGATCTTAAACATCCAGTATTTCTCTCTCAGCCCGATGATATCCAGTCGAGCTATCGATCATAAGCGTGGAGCTTCCCCATTGTTCTTCCAACGCCGTTACATCGTGCACGATGGCGCGTTGAATAGGCACCTTATGTGGGATATAACTCTGTTGAAAGTGTCGACCGGATTATTATCATGAACGATCTCTCTCAACAGCAACTGCCTCGCGACGTTTCCCAATCCGTTGAACAAATCCGCCACCCATTGATTTTCTCTCCTCTTCTTTCTCTTTCCCTATCTCTTTCTCTTTCTATTTTTCTTTCTCTTTTTCTTTCTTTTTCTCTTTTTCTTTCTCTTTCTCTTGTAATAGATGAGATACGATCGTCGTTCGATTACTTCCATACGAGGGATCAACCTCGATCCTTTCGAAGAAGCTCCGTTCCCAAAATTAAAGCCCCTTTGTATGGTAAATCAATTTAACTTGAATTATTTACGGAGATTAAATTCGCAACGCAACGATTTGTTACGCGATTTCGGTATAAGAATTATGGATATAATTTTGATTTATGTTAATCTAATTTGTTGGAAATCACAAAAAAGAAATCGAGATTGTATGTTGGCGAGTTGTTACTTTGAAATAAGTGAAAAATGAAAAAGAATAAAAGGAAAATGAATTTATTAAAGGAAAAATTATAATAAATTTACGAATAAGTAAGTCATTTAGTAAGAATTAAATGAACTGTATTAATGAAATTAGAAATATAAAATAATAGAACGATTTGAAAGAACATAAAAATTACTCATGTGAATAAAATTGTATAACTGTTTAGATTTTTTTTGTTTTTGCTTTTTTTCTTATTTTTCAATTTAATTTTATTTGGTCCGCGTCAAATAAAGCGAGATATTGGATGCTAAATATCCTATATCATGTGCCATTTCATTATGTGTCGTTATAAATACTCTATCGTTATCCACATTTCTCCCTTCTTGCAACGCGAACCTACGTGGGCTACGCATGCGTCGCCATTGTTGTTTCTCTCCTGTTCTGTCTTCGTCGTTGTCGCGTTGTTGCTATTCGTTGATGTTGTTATTGTCGTTCATATAGGCAGAAGGTGAAACTCGGCGAGTTTGCGTGCACTGTATTGACAAAGATTACCGGTTATCGCGCTTCGAGGATTCTTGTACCCACTTCCCTCCCCCTTCCACTTCATATTTTCCTTTGAAGATCAATAAAAGTGTTTGAAGTCGACGTCCCCCTTCTATGTATTTTACGTATAATACGTGCTTAGTGTTGTGCACATTGTATTTTGAATTTATTTTCCCTTATATTTAAGCACATATTCTTAACCATTCATGTGACCGTTCATATATATATATATATATATATATATATATATATATATAAAATCATATATATATATATATATATATATATATATATATAAAATCATATATATATATATATATATATATATATATATATATGATTTTACATAACATGTGATTTCTAGACGATACCGTAATATATACGAATGAAATAAAGAAGTATTTAAAATGTTACAGGAAGAGATTGGTGAGATCATTGAGTCGGCACCATCTACTCCATTACGTGTCATCGAGGAACCAAAATATCCGAAGCAACAAGAAATAACAACAACCATCAAGGTAGGAACTTCGAGTTCGAAGGATTCGACGAACGCTTCGAGATGTTTGCCAGCGAGAAGTACTCGAGTTCCAAAGCAACAGAATTCTCTGCCACGGGGCAATAACAAGACAATTATCGGGGATGATATTGGCGAGTGGTCGAACAGTATACTCGCTGAGTTCAATAGCATAATAGCGAAAGAGATAAACGAATTAACCAAAGAAAAATCGATAAAGTATTTGGAAAGACGAAATACGACGAGAAAGGAGAAGGAAGAACCGAAAACGATCAAGTACAAAGAATTATTGAACGAGTTCGGTTTATCCGATAGCGAAAATTCCGAGAATAGTTATTGCGAAATCAACAGGAACAACGTCAAAAATAAATATTGGTGTAACAGAGGGGAGACTTACGTCGACGAAGTCGACGTTCGTTCTCTTTTAAATCCTGATTCAGTGCCGAATGAAAATGAGATTTCACGACGTAAAAGCGGCAGTCTACCGGACAATCTCGGTATCGTTATCGATCAACATAGATATCGATTGGTCAATGACGATCGTCAGAGCAACGAGTTTTTAGCAAGAAACGTAAAAAGTCATTCTTCATGGAATAATAGAAACGTATCTAGTCTACCAACGAGAATAAACCGACCCGGGGAGGACGTTTGTAGTGAGCCAAAGAAAATTGTAGAGTTAAGAAGCGTGTCCGACGATGTACCGGTCGTCTTACCTCCGTCCTCCTCTTCCTCATCTTCTTCATCATCTTCCTCTTCCTCTTCCTCTTCTTCTTCTTCCTCATCTTCTTCATATTCGTCTTCGTCTACGTCTTCTTCAAGAATAATCACAGTGGAAGAATCGAAAACCAAACTTCCGCCTCGTCAACGAACGGATTCCCAGAGGAAACACAGTCTTCCTGTTATTCCAACGAATCAGAAACGCCGTAGAGATTGCCAGCCAAGGTTTCAAAGATTTAAAGGTACTAAGGACGATCAAGACATCGGTATGGATCCAGATTACGACGACGTATTCAACAAAAACGACAGTCATATTATAGCTGGTAGATCAAAATCTTTGGACAATAATGTACCGAAATCGGCACCAGTGACGCCGACCGAAGAAAAGAAACCACCATTTGGGAAATTTCTTAAAAGAAGACAAACACCTGTTTTTCATGAAAACTCGAACGACATTGTACTCGTTAGAGTATCCTCGTTACCCGATCAGGATCTTTTACATTTGGAAAATCGAACGAAGGATGGTATGACCTCGAAAAAACGTGCTGTTTCCCCTTTTACGTTACGTTGTGACATATCGGCAAAGAGACTATCTGAATCCGATAGAGACGTAAGAGAGACCAGTCCGGTAGACCTAAAGAAATTTTCAATATCGAGATCGAGGGGTAACGACGTGGCAGTCGAATGTGATTTGCCTGAAGATAGAAACGATTCGGTTTGTGAAAATGTTAGGATAGAAAATAGTGAGGTGAAGAGGATCGTTGAGGAACAGAATGCCAGATCAGGATCGGTAAGAACAGTGAGTAGTGTAACGAAAAAAGAAAAAGAAAGAAAACAAATATAAATTTATTGATTCGTTTCATGAAAATATCAATTGTTCATTCATTCCAGTTGCCAATCTCTCTACACTCTCTTTTATTGAGAATCAGAAGTGGTTCAGGCTCCTGTTGTCCCAACAGTCCTCCAATGGAGTCCTTTACTTGTTCGGATATAGCCACGCAAACTTCACCTCCCATTTCAAGAAGTTCTAGCTTTACTTGGGTCAGCGAATGCGAGTCTCCACGAGGTAAATTTTACTCCCTCCCTCCTTCCTTACTTCTTTCCTTCTTGCCTTTCTTCCTTCCTTCCTTTCGTCCTTCCTTCCTTTCGTCCTTCCTTCCTTCCTTCCTTCCTTCCTTCTTTCTTTCCTTCCTTCCTTCCTTCCTTCCTGCCTTTCGTCCTTCCTTCCTTCCTTCCTTCCTTTCTTTCTTTCCTTCCTTCCTTCCTTCCTTCCTTCCTTCCTTCTTTCTTTCCTTCCTTCCTTCCTTCCTTCCTTCTTTCCTTCCTTCCTTCCTTCCTTCCTTCCTTTCTTTCTTTCTTCTTTTCTTCCTTCCTTACTTTCTTCCTTATTTACTTACTTATTTACTTATTTATCTCCTTTTATTATCGAAAGAATATATAGATAAGAATTTGACATGCAGTAGTAGTGGCGTCGATTCGTCGCTTACCAGCTTGGTTCGCTTTGACGTTTATAGCGGAATCGCAATTGGATTCGCAGTCGCTGCAAGACGAGAGCACTCTAGACCCACCATCGCCTCAAGACACTGTAGATGACGACAACAGATCTTCCTCTTCCTCCCAAGATCTTTTGCAAAGCATGGATGAGATCTCATCAGGGAGTTTGTCACCGGATGCTACGGATAGAGCTTCTCCTCTCGAGAGTGGAATCGGTACGGCGAGCCCACCTAGAAGCACGGATCGACGATTAACCAAACGTAAGCAAAAATTTTTTGCATTTTGTGGAAAGTGAAAGAGATGGATAAAGAGAAAAAGAAAAGGAAGTAAGTACTTAATTTCGACGAAACGGTTTCCATTGGTATTTTTTTTTTTTATTTTCTCTCTTAAAGCGCCGACCTCGAACAAGTGTCACAGAAAGGAGACCTGGGAAAGGATTCGCCGGAGACCATCCAAATTGAGCTCGCGTAATGACAAAAATAATCAAGACGTTTGGATCAAACGGGAGAGTGTTCACACGCAAACAAAAGATCACGAGAATCGATATCTACAAGAAGGGATTGACAGTAGCAGCGGATTGGATGATTCCTTGCCGCGTGTTAAACCGCCAAGACCTACGAATCTACCGCTATGTGAGTTTACTTTTTCAATCGTACTTTTTTTTTTATTAGACACTCGTAGTGAAACTTTTATAAGTTTGGAGGGAGAAAAGAAAGAACGATCGTATGGAATGTCGAGGTCAAATTGTATTGAAATAAGTTATATGATACGTAGGTCTGTCGACGACAGTCAGTTCGCTGAGCTCCGGAGAATTATTGGAGACTCCACCTCGAGCACCCTCCTCACCATCGGCAGCAAGTCTGCAATTGAAGCCGGAACCATTGACAATAGAAATGGGCGGAAAGAGCAGTAGTGCGCCGTTGTTGGAGAACAACGAGGTTGAAAAGAACGGAAGGAAGGTTTCGGTGAGTCGAATCTTTCTTTTTATTTCTTTTCTTTTTTTCTTTTTTTTCTTTCTTTTCTTTTTTTCTTTTTTTTCTTTTTTTTTCGATAATAAACCAGCTTTCGACGAGTAATTAAAAAAGAAATAATAACTTGTAGTAGACTCTCTCGTAATAGTGCACCTACTTAGCTTTCGCATTGTAACATCAATCATATACGCGTTGAAGTTCACATGGCATTCGAGATATCGAGATTATCATGTTGAGATAGACCTCTTTGACCGTTAGTTCGTTTGGTGATCCACACTTATGGCGAATCATTAGTCTCTGCCCACGCAAGCCGTGTACTGCATCGAGCATCGGGAACACGGCTATTTGTATTTTTCTTCGACTCATACAATTCGCAGACAGCATCCGTACCTTGATCGCCGAAAGGGTACGGAATAAAAAAAAAAGAAGAAGAAGAAAAAGAAAAGAAGCCTCGAGCTTTAATTTCCCTTTCACTCGCGGCGCCTCTTTCAACACCTGTTTCTATCGAACGGGAACGAAAAAATGCATTCTTTTTTTTTCCTTCCTCTCTCTCTCTCCCTCTCTCCCTCCCTCCCTCCCTCCCTCTCTCCCTCTCTATCTCTCTCTCTCTCTTTCTCTCTCTCTCTCTCTCTCTCTCTCTTTCTCTCTCTCTCTCTCTCTCTCTCTTTCTCTCTCTCTCTCTCTCTTTCTCTCTCTCTCTCTCTCTTTCTCTCTCTCTCTTTCTCTCTCTCTCTCTCTCTCTCTCTCTCTTTTCAATACGTGTTTATTTATTTTCTTATTGAAAGTCTCGATAATGAAGTACGATCCAATGAAAAAAAAAGCTAAGAAATATCTAGGCGCAACGTTTTGTATCTATAATATTTCTTTGTTTATTTTTCATCTTTTTTTCTTTTTTTTTCTTTTCTTTCTCTCATTTCTCCTTCTTGACTTTCAAACATGATAGGATCGAGATGCAATCGTGCCTGAATGGACCCTTAATTTTCCTTTCACATGGACGGCAATATTCGAATAAGTTCGTATTAGCTTCCAAATGCATATCGAAGATTTCGCATAACAGAGAGTTGCTTTCTTGGATGTGGGTAATCGTTCGAGGTAACGATCGATTCTTCTTCAAGTTTATATTACATTTCGTAGAAATTTATTTTATTTCATAGTTTTCTTTCTCTCTCTCTCTCTCTCTCTTTCTCTCTCTCTCTCTCTTTCACACACACATACACATAAATGCACATACACTCGTGGTTACATTTAGAAACACACTGCAATGTACACGTGAAGTGATTATTTTAAAAAAAGTAGTCAGTAGTGATAGTGAGGATGGGCACTATCATTAGGGATTAGGGAAGCATAGTATTTCAAGGTCAGTCGTCGGTGCTTTGATACCAAAAGCATACTTTGCTCAAATGCATAAACATAGCGGTTGTATTCCGCTTACCTAACACATCTATCGATCGGTGCACGTTAAAGGAATAATTTTCCAACGCTTTTGGATCGTGTTGTAGAATATTTATATTAATTTTCTAAAGATATTTCGAAACACGTTTAAAAATCGACGATTTTTTCTAAATTTTACACCTCTCAATAAGCAAATTAATGAAAAGTGCCCTTGTATGTGTTTCTATCGAGTGATAATCAAGAAAACAAATAATAATAAAAAGAAATAAAAAAATAAAAAAACGGCTATGAAGAGAAACGATTAGTGCGTGATAAGTAAAATATGTGTTTATCTATATCAGACGATCCGCGAGTTTCTTATCAATTAAATAGAGAGAGAGAGAGAGATAGAGAGAGGGAGGGGGGAGGGAGAGAGAGAGAGTCAATATTTCTCAATTGAAATTAATATTTACTTTGAAATTAATATTTACGTACGATTCGTTTTATAAAGAGAAAAAGGAATAAAAGTCATAATTGTGGGAGTAAGAGTACAACAGAAGGTCTTGCTTTTTTTTTTGTTTCTTTTTTCTCTTTTTCGTTGTATAAATCAATTTTTTTTTCTTTTTTTGTTCGTGTATTTCTAACCGTGCTTACAAATTATCAATGAAGTGTCAGCACACAAAGTGGTGGTTTACACACGAACGAGCATTTCTCTCGGACAAATGTGTGTTTTCGCGGTATACATGGATGCGCCTACTAATACAGATAAAAATATTACTAACACAAGGGAAAGAGAGTAAACGTGTATTAGTGAATGATCAAAGCTAATGGAGCAGCGAGCCGTGTTAGCAACGTATTAGTCGGTTGGCATCCCTCGACCCTCGAATAAACGTAGCCTCTCTTCGAGTATACTCTCTTTCCTTCGTTTCTTTGCAAAGGAAAAATAAAATAAAATAAAAAACGGAAAAGAAAGTAAAAGATAAAAAAAGATAAAGAAAGGACAATTAACTCGGATATTCATTTGGAGTTCTTGAATTATTTAAAAAAAAATAGATTGATCTTTAATATATTATCTTTCACATTTCTTTCTTTTTTTCTTTCTTTTTCTTTTTTTAATAGACCATTAGCTGGTTAGTCCTCTTTCTTATTCACTTTACTACTTGTATATTATCTGTCCATGCGGAAGTCAAATTTATTTTGTCAAAAAACATTATTATTAATGATTTTACATGTGGCTTTTTCACATTTATGCAATTAAATGGATATCTGTTTTACGAATTAATTGAGATATAATGAAAGGTCAAGGTCAGCCATTTGTTTCGAAGTCGAGCCCATATACTCCTGCAAGTGGGTCGTGCTTTTCGTACGGCAAATGATAATTTAAAAAACGTGAAGAAAAATAAGAAACGATGTCATCCTACTAACGTATCGTATCCTTTCGTTATCATTCTCTCGCAGCCATTTGAGACTCATCCATTTAAACTAACGACATGTGCTTCAGACAGCTTCGAACTTTTGTCCTATCCTGACTGACCTTAATTGAAATTAATCCTTTGACGTTCGTAATTAAATTAAAAATTTCTTTTCTATACAGAAAAAAATAATTTATCATTAACAATGTTTAAATCTAATAATAGAAAAAATATTTTGTGATAAATTTATTTTTAATTTTTATGCTACGTGTTACGTCCAAAGTATTATAAAGTATAAAAAAGAGAAAACGTAAAAAAATACATACATACATACATAAATACGTGTTGTACTTACGTTACAAATGAAAGTGTAATGTAAAAGATTTAAATGATTATCGATTGTTATAATAGAAACATATCAAGTCGTTGAGACCAAGCTATCCGTTGACCTTGTCTAATAGTAACGTAGGTACTTATATGTATATTCCCTCGACGATCGTTGTAAGCTTACAACACATAAAGAACTATCAAATGAACGTGAACATTGTTTTGTTTTTAAAGAATATATTTTTTTCGTAAAGCGTTGAAAGTTTAATTCATTAGAGAATGTTCTGTCAAGGTAAAACGTTAGGCAGGTCGCTAAAGATAGACTATCTTTAAATAAGAATTTTAAATTCTTTTATCTATTCCTCTTTTATTTAATATTTGTTATCTATCAATAGAGCTGAATTTATTCGTATTAACAAAGAACGTTCGTCCAATCGAATAATACAAATAATTTTCGCTTTAGAAATTTTTTATTAAATGATATGTATATTATCTTATTTTATTTCATAAAAAAAAAGAAATTTTTATAATTTATTTAACTTTCTTGCGATTTTTGCATAGCAAAAATTAATTGTGTTGAAAACAGAAAATATTTATCAACATTATTTTCAAGCAATGATTTTGTTAGAAATAGAGAATAATGTTTATTTAGCATTAAATTTATATAAAAATATTAGTTCTCAGTTTACTAATTCCCATTTTACAAAAGAGTAATTCGAGAATACGAATGCGAAAATTATCTGAGATTTCGAATCATTTATATGTAATTTTCCACAATAAATTCGATGAATATTACATCAGGTACGATATCAATCAGAAAAACAAAGAAAAAGAAAAGCGAAAAAATTCTTTTCATACAGATAGGTAGCGTGTAAATGCGTAAGAAAATGTGATAACAATGTTCCGTCTTGTTTCAGTCATTGCAGCAGCCACGTTCGCAATCGGAACGACAATTATCAGGTGAGTCTTATCTCTCTAACGCATATAACGTAGAATCCTATCCAACGTTATTACGTTCTCACTATCTTTATCGTTACAATTGCTCAAACTATGTAAATATGTATTCTTTCGAACTTTCTAATGGTAATTCTCTTTCGATTTGTATATTATTGTTTATGTGTATGTATATATGTATGTATATATGTATGTATATATGTATGTATGTGCATACATATGTATTCGATGTTACAAGTCGAAGAAGTTATCGTCGGAATAATTTTTTAGTCATGGCAATACAAACGTTAAAGAAAGAAAGAATTGTATGTTCTTGTCCTTTGCAAAGAATTTACATGTTTCTTCATGTAAGCAAAATGTAAAGACACGGAATGTTCTAAGCCGTTAGAGTCATTGAAGTTTGAAAGTTAACGGTTTATTTCGTGGTTTTCAACGAGAGAAAGAAAAAAGAGAAGACTGACATTACTCATTGCTTTGAACATATGTATGTATATAATATATACATATGTACGTATATATATGTATATACAGAGAGGAAGGAATTGTCTATAGAGAAGTTTAGCGGTATGTCAAACTCTTTCGAGATGTGCTCGTTCGATTGAAAATCCGATTTAACTCGTCGTTCATATATCACGAACGAACTTGCTACAAAAACGAACGCTTCTAAGCAGGTCGAGGACAGATACGCTTCGAGACAGTACGCTTCGTTGATCGTTTTGAGCTTGCGCTCGGTAGAATTTTATAAAGAAAAAAGAATATATATATATATACATATAAAGAGATAGAGAGAGAGAGAGAGAGAGAGAGAGAGAGAGAGAGAGAGAGAGAAAGAGAGAGTTATCTTTTTTTGCGTCGATAAAAGCAAATTAGGAGAAGATAAAAAGCATGGGAGAAGAAAATTGAAACGTCAGGAGTAACAGTGAAATTATTTCGTCGTTTTCAAGCTTGATAATATCTAATTTTCCGTATCACCGAATTCAATATATGATAAGAATAACGATAATATTCGACAATATATCATCGTCATTCTTCTTATTTCTTTTTTTGCCTGATTTCTTTCCCCTTTCTCAAAACGATTCTTCGAGATATCGAAACGATTTGTCGGCCTAAGGGTGTAAGTACGATGGAAAGTAGTCGCTGGGAGACCACATTTGCGTAGCTCGCGTAGCTGATTTAATTCTTAATTTTAGCCTCGGGTCAACACGCCTGCACCGGAAGCTTTAATCACCGCACGGACCGCGATGCTTCGAATCTTACATTGGAGACTTAGCCGTGTGCACGTAGCCGCCTACCTCGAGAAAGCAATTAGCGCGTGTTCACGTGAGCGTCGATAATTAATTAAACTTTCGCGATCGATTGCAGTACCGTTGCTTACTCGACTACAATGTTTCATTGTCTTTCCTGTAACTCTTCTTGGTATCCAATTCTATATACATGTATATGTATATATATGTATATGTCTATAAATATTTATATAACGTTAGTGTATGTATATATAAGAGAAATTTCGTTCGACCCTTTTGAAAAGGTTCATTTAGTTAATTTAGAAGAGCATGGAAATAGTATGCGTTTTCGATCGTGAAATAAACATCGTCATTGAATATTTTTAGTCGGTTATTTTGGAAGAGGCCGAAGGTGGGCGCTTTTTATAAAAACGCCTCGAAAACTTATGCGAGCCAATGATATTCAAGGTAATAATATAAATGAACATATTTCTTTTTGTGTATACATATACATATACATATACATAACATATACATATACATATACATATACATATACATATACATATACATATACATATACATATACATATACATATACATATACATATACATATACATATATATATATATGTATATAAATATATATATATATATATATATATATATATATATATGTATGTATGTTTGTATGTTCTTTTTTATTTCTTTCTCATTAAAGATCTCTTCATCATTGATATTTTTGCATCAACTCGAGTAGGTATTCTTAATGGGAACTCGAATGCAACGAAGATACAAGAAGCTGCAAATTAGGTTTACACGTGCCGCACCTTCGGGTTCTCAGTTAAGAGAAATTAATTGTGGGCTGGTACCATTATCATGCGCGTGTGAATGTTGTTAGGGAACAACCATTATTGATCGTGTGTTTAGTTTATGGTGCGAGATGGATAGATAGATAAATAGAGAGAGGAGGAGGAGGAGGAGGGAGTGAGGGAGGGAGGGAGAGCGTTCTCGATAAGACAATTATCTTTCGAATCGATCAAACTTATATATCTTTTAACATAGAAAGAGTTCATAAGCACAGAACTATCGTAGATCTTTTGGCAACTATTATCAAATAGAAATAAAAGAAAAAAAAACAAACAGAAGAGAAATAAAGAAAAAAAAAATAATAGAATCATTTAGAAATTATTAATAAGCAACGCTAAGCGATCTCGCCTTCGAGGCACGCACGAGAAGGATTTGTAAATGTTTCACCGACGCAACTAATTGCCAGCTTTCAGGCTACGTTCTACTTCGCCGACTATCTCCTATAGGACAAAGAACTCGTAATTACTTGATTATGTGCGGTACATATACAATAATGGTGTCGACGATCATTAGCAAATGTGAATCGGCCGAATTTAGGAAATATTATTTTGACGTGAATGCTCAATGCATATACGTTTATAGTTACGTATAATAATAATAATAATAATTATTATTATAATATTATTATTATTATAATTATTATTATAATAATAATCATAATCATAAAAATAGCAATAATAATCATCATCATAGTTGTCATCATTATCACTGAAATACGTTAAGTTATTTCAGGTGATAATAATTATTGACTCATCGTGTGTATAATGTTACATATACTACGTTTAACACGAGAAAGGTGATTTCCAGAATAGAAAATCCGATTACGAAGAAGGGCTTAGACTAGTCTCGAGGATGTGCTTGAAAGGAAAGTATTCGTAGAGTGCATAAATCGAACAGAGCCTGTTGGTATATCGTAATGAGGAAGGTTACCGAAAAAGAGGGAGAGGGAGAGAAAGAGAGAGAGAGAGAGAAAGAGAGCGAGAGAGAGAAGAGAGAAAAGGAGGTCCACAGGTGACTCGATGAAGAAAAAGCAAGTAGGGACGCTTGCGCCGAGGCATTAGGCGACGTCAGAGGCTAACGACGGTTTGCGTTGGTCCGTTGCGCCAATGGAAGTCGACGGCAGTCGTCGGTATCGTGGGCACCGCGGCGCTCGGCGCAGTTTACCGAGCGCCGTCCACGCGACTCGCGCGCTCGCATATCTTTAACGTTTCTCTTCGTCGCGCGTGGCTTCGTCCTGTCAAACGCACGCCGAATCCTTCGAGAATTACTTCAATGTGATATCGTCGCTTCCGTTTCGATTGTTTATTAATCAGTACGTTCGTGTTTCGACGTTCATTCGTTCGATCGATATTTTGCTTTCTCCCCTCCCCATCCCCTCTTTTTTCATCATTTTTCTTTTCTTTTTCTGAGAGGGTTGTTGTTTTTTTCTCATATATTGTTATCCTTTACCAATTTGATTTGTTTTTTCTTTTCGAGCTTATAACCTCTTGAACGTTTTCTAATTTATGAAAGAAAGATTTATTACAGATCGTTTTCCTTCCTTTCTTCTCTTTTTTTGTTTTTCTTTCGTTCGAATAGTTTTGTTTACAGCAATCGAAGGATATGCGACACTTTCACGAGTCTCGCCTTCGGTAATTATAACTTTCCTAGGATATTCTTTTTAACAACGGCGTGTAGTGCTTGCTTGTCGTAAATCACGATTCGAAAGTGTCGCCTTCCTTGAAAGGTGAGGAAGTGGGAGGCAGGGAGGGTGGGGAGAAGGGAGAGGGGAGGCGAGGGGAGAAAATAGAAAAAAAATTATCGTAAAACTTTCTTCTTCTCGGATATAAGGGGAACGTGTTGTGTGTTTTCTTGGCTAGCGAAAGATCGATAGCGATCGGGGTTTTAACTTTTAAAAGAAACGCTCATCCGTAGAATAGGACAACGGTGGTGGTAGTCCGGCGATTAGGATTTCTAGAAATAGGAGAGAGAGTCTAGTGACGGTCCATGAGTCGGCACAAATCATTTATCGGAGCGTGACATCGAATCGACCGCATAGATTTTTCATTTCTTCTATTTATGTGTTTCGTTTTACCTTTTTCCTTTTTCTTCCTTGCTTTCTTTCTTTTAGATTTCTTTTAGTTGAAATTCATTCATTCATATGACAAGTTCGTCTATGTCTCTTTCTATCTTTGTTTTCGACTTCCTTGTTTTGTTAATTTCAAATATCTGGAGAACGTTTTCCAAAAGATCGTAAAAGGTTTCTCGAATCAGATTCCTTCTTCGATCGTGTTCAACTTCATTCATAATTCATAACACATAGCGTCTCGTTGAATTCTATTCGCTACATTTTCCTTTTATTCTCCTTTTTTCTTTTTTTTTCTTTCCCCTCTCTCTCCCTCCCACCTTCTCTGTCTCTCTTTCTCTTTCTCTCTCTCTCTCTCTCTCTCTCTCTCTCTCTCTCTCTCTCTCTCTACGAGTAACTTCCTGTATCGATAACAGAAAAGGTGTCACGCACGCAGAAATTCTTACGGTATCCTTCATCGTTACTCTCGAAACAATCCACTTCGATTCCGTTGTCCCGTTGGAATATAAATCCATTGGCAAAGTTCAAAGGTGTCCAATGGTGGTGGAGCAGGAGGAGAAAAAAGAGGAACACACTTTAGTCGTAGCGATTCTTTCGCTTACACGTTTCTTCTTTTTTTCTTTTTTTTTTTTCCTAGTGTCAGTATGGAGCCCGAGGGCGTGACATAGATAGAACGATGTACCTATTAAGGCTTCGGAAGAGACTCGTAAATCAGGATGAATAAGATTCGACCTCCTTTATACCATTCTCTTTTTTTTTCTTGTTTTCCTTTTTGTTTATTTTATTTGAATTCGAGCAGGATTATATCGATCGAAAAAATCGCGGAATCGCATCCACCTTCTCTTCCT